AGAGAGCCCGAGGCCCAGCAGAAAGCCTGTGACCAGCAGAGACCCTGAGCCAGCAGAGACCCTGAGCCAGCAGAGAGCCTGTGCCCAGCAGAGAGCCGAGGCCCTGCAGAGAGCCTATGCCCTCCAGAAGTCCTAAAGCCCAGCAGAGAGCCTGTGACCAGCAGAGAGCCCGAGGCCCAGCAGAGAGCCTGTGACCAGCAGAGACCTGAGCCCAGCAGAGAGCCTGGGACCAGCAGAGACCCTGAGCCAGCAGAGACCCTGAGCCCAGCAGAGAGTCTGTGACCAGCAGAGAGCCTGTGCCCAGCAGAGAGTCTGTGACCAGCAGAGAGCCTGTGCCCAGCAGAGAGACTGAGGCCCAGCAGAGAGCCTGTGCCCAGCAGAGAGTCTGTGACCAGCAGAGAGCCTGGGACCAGCAGAGAGCCTGAGGCCCAGCAGAGACCCTGAGCCCAGCAGAGGGCCTGAGGCCCAGCAGAGGTCCTGAGGTCCTGCAGAGAGCCTGTGCCCAGCAGAGAACCTGAGGCCCAGCAGAGAGCCTGCATCCAGTTGAGAGCCTGTGACCAGCAGAGAACCTAAGGCCCTTCAGAGAGCCTGTAACCTGCAGAGAGCCTGAGCCCAGAAGAGAGCCTATGACCAGCAGAGGGCCTGAGGCCCAGCAGAGAGTCTGAGTACCACCAGGGCTCCCTGCTTGGCATCCACATCTCCCTTGGGAATACACGGGCCAGCTCAGTGCCTGGGCCTGGCAGTACTGTTGCCAGATTGCTCTGGATGTCAGTCAATCCTGCAGACTGACACTCCTGGGCGTTGTGGCCCCGGGGAGCAGAGAGCCTATGATCAGCAGAGAGTCTGTGCCAGCAGAGAGCCTGAGGCCCAGCAGAGAGCCTGCACCCATAGAGAGCCTATGGCCCAGCAGAGAGCCTGTGACCAGCTAAGAGCTTGAAGCCCAGTGGAGATCCTGCGCCCAGCAGAGAGCCTGAGGCCCATTAGAGAGCCTATGCTCAGTGGAGAGCCTGTGACCAGCAGAGAGCCTGTGCCCAGAAGAGAGCCTGAGGCCCAGCAGAGAGCCTGCGCCTAGCAGAGAGCCTGGGCCCAGCAGAAAGCCTGCCACCTGCCTCACTCTGCTGTGGAAGTTTGGTTCCACGGCTCCATCAGCAAGTTAGAAATGAATGTGTACATTCATTTGGGCAGATTTATTGCTAATCCAAAATGATTTTTAAATGAATACCCTCTTATCATCCAGAGACCCTAACCCTACCATTACTAATAAAGTTCCCCGTATTATTGTTTTCCTTCAGCACCTACTCTGGTACATACACGTTGGTCCTATGACGGGGGACAGATGAGACCCACCCCCCGGGCAAGGTGCTGCCTGCCAGGCAGGGGCTCAGGATCCAGGCACCCACCCAAGAGTTCTCAGCTTCTCCATCTAGAGGGACGCTGTGTCTGTGAACTCACCCACTTGATCAAAGTTACTCTCACCTTGAGATGAGCCCCTATGGCACTGCCTCAGGGCCGTGGGTGTGTAGATTGAGAGCACTTTGACCTATTGCCTGCTTCCACTCGTGCAGACCTGTTGGTGCTCAGCCCCCTTGCCCCTGCTCTCAGATGTGACAAGTGTCCTTTAGCCTACTTAGAGCTGTGTTTGCCCATTTTTTTTTATTTTTTTTTGGGGGGAGGAACAGCTGATTTTGCTGTTCAGAGCAGCCCCCAAGCATAGTGCTGAGGGCCAACTCATGATCCTCAGGGCCCCAAGGCTGAAACGTGGGGAAGGAAATCGAGTTGGCAAAGCTTCATCCAGGCCAGAGCTGAGTGAACTCAATGTTATTGGACCAGCAGAGGATTAAAGAACGTGTCTACCCAGGAACTCCCACAAAGCAAGCAGCACACAGAAGGACCAAACTCACGGAGCCCAGCCCTAGGTAACTGCTCCCTGGGAGCTGAGGTGTGGGTCGATGTCACTAATCAGCACTCAGCTGGATACGAGTATTGCCAACCAGGTGTCGAGTGGATTTAGAAGGCCGAGTTCGCTGGAGCTGTGGTGGATGGACTGGAGGCATGTGGCTGGCCGTCACTGATCCAGCTGGACTACCACAGCACTTCAGCTGAACGGACCAGGGCCTCACCCAGGTAGAGGAGAGGATCTACCATCACGCACACACCTGTTCCTTCAGGAGCTACTCGTGCACACCTGTGATGTGTGGGCACTGCCAGGCGGGGCAGGCGGTGAGGAGGGCTCAGCTGGGCAGGCATCGAGGATAGGGAATGACGGCGATGGACCTGGTACGAGGGAGAGAGGAACCAAGGTGAGCCAGGGCTCTGTTTTGGGCACCAAGTTTCCTGCGCTGGTTCTCCCAAAGAAGAGGGACACGAGGAGCAGGGACATCCTCCAAGGAGAAATGAAGAATTTGACAGGACAGGTACCCGGGTGTCCAGGGCTTCATTGCCTCAGGGATGAAGCTCCCTGCTCGGCATTCACATCTGCCCTGGGGAATACACAGGCCAGCTCAGAGCCTGGGCCTGGCAGGACAGTTGCCAAATTGCTCTGGACGTCAGTCCATCCTGCAGACACTCCTGGGCATGTGATGGCCTGGGGAGCAGGGTTTGTTAACTGTTCTTAGACATGCCCGTCCTAGCTAGGTGCAAGTTACTTAGTGCTGGGGCTCAGATAAGGACATCCTCCACATTGGGCAACGTGAGCAAGCAGGCCACAGAGAAAGACCGGGAAGCTAACGTGGGTGAGGAGAGGGGTGGTGACGGCAGCAGAATAGCAAGAATATTTTGTGACAAGCAGGGCTTCTCTTTACCTTGTCCCCTCCAGGCCACCACTTACTTCGCCAGCCTAAGCCCCAGGAAGCAGGAACCCAGATAGTCTGCCCTCTGCTGTATCCCAGACCAGAGGAAACCTGGTCCATGCTAGGCTCACAGTGATGGGTTTAGTAAACCATGCTTGGATTTGGTTCTGTAACCCCACCAGCAGTTTTAAGAGATATAAAGAGCATTAGGTGTTCGTCCTGCATTCCCTCAACTTTCAACCACAAAATAAGCAACTCTGTCCAGGAGCTGAAGCCTCAAGCCTCAAATATTTGCTTGGTGCTTTTTGTTTCTGGCCATGATAGGGCTAATGGTCCCAGAGCCTGCTCCACAGTCCACACTAGAAAACTGGACAAACCATAGGAAACAGCCAGGCCCCAAGCAACTATCCTCCTGAGAATATGGACCAGCGAGGGGCACCTCATACTTGTCTGGCTTGTGCCCATCTGGAGACACTTCCTGAGTGTAGGCAGAGCACAGAGGTCACTGTCAAGAGACGGAGGCCACAAACCAGAGCCTGGGGCAGATCCCGGAGGGGACTCAGCCATGCAGAGAAAGCATCTTCAGTCTGCATGGGCCCTGGCCTTTGCTGGACACCTGGGTGTGAGGTGGACAGCCAGGACTGATGGGCTTCTGAGTTCTTCCACCAGAGGGGAGAGGCTGGGCAAGCTGCTGTGAGCATAGCCAGAAACCAACTTCTCTTGTTAGCAGGCATAAAGGTCCAGCAGAGGCCTGTGCTGTCTGAATGCACCCACCTCCCCAGACTGGCTTATCCTGTCCCCCCCCAAAAAAAAACTGTTTGTACAGTTCATAAGCTCAGATCCTTCAGAGACCAGACACCAGTGGCTTGAGACAAAAATTTAGCAATTTATGTTTTATATTAGAAAAATTGTTTTAAAAAAAGCTTATTAATGTTGAAAGAATGCTTTAACTTCTATTGGTATAGCACTACATGGTGTCTTTTTAAGACATATTACATTTTACTAAAAATTCAAAATTTTCAGCTTTTGTTTGCTTTATTTTTAGTAGTTCACTTTTCTCCAATATTTGAATTTAATTCCATACAAATTACTTTCAGACTATAAAATCAGTTAGCTGAAGTCAAACAACAAAAGGTAGAAAACAAAACAAGAAGTTGTGCCCCAAACAGAGCAAGGGCAAATGAGTTTCATAAGGTGAACAAGCCCCTCCCTCCTAGTATTTAAATATCGAGGGCATACACAATAGGAACTGCTGCTTGTGTTTATTTATTCCCTCCACAGAAAACACTGGAAAACTTTCGAGCCAAAAATACAGGCTGACTCTTCTTTAGAAAGGTGTTTTTCTTTTAAAATTGAGTAATTTTAAAAGTCAATAAATTTTTATTTAAGGAATTTCCCATTGTGATTTTTCTGTTGACCATTTCAAGGATGCCCTTTTTAAAAGAACTGGAGGCTTACTTAGTTGTTTCAATCGCCCACCATCCTTTTCCCACTTGAATTATAGAACAGCGATGATTTCACTATTCTCCACTGTCTGGAGCCGCTATGGTCAAAAGATATGTGTACACCTGTAAGTCCTGAGTAAAGGGGGTGCTGAACAGGTATTGCACCCTGCAATACATTGGGCTTTACCCCAGGTTGGATAAGGAAGGTGTGGGCATCACCCAATGGGGTTGAGTTACACCCACTTGTTCCTTTGTAATCCTACCCCTTTGCCCTTTTTGGGATAGAATGTTCCATGGAAGCTCCCCTTGTGTGTCCCCTATACAAGAATAAAGAATTCCAGTGGCTCTCTCTTTCCATGAACCCCTAAGGTAACAGAGCTGTCCCTGAATTTTGAAAAGGTACTTCTGTGTGTTGCATGCTTTCTTCGCTGTTTTCTTAAGTTACCGGAATAGTCAGATTTGTGAACCCAGCAAAGGTCGCCAGCTCTGATAGATGGCGATACTCCACCTAGTATATTTGGGATTTAATTTTTTCAAGTAATTGACTTAGGATCCAAATAGGAGAAAAACAAACAGCCATAAGCAATGTGCACAAAGCCTTATACTTTGGGGTACAGATGGATCTGCCTGGTTCTCAAGGGCTGACATCTTCTCTATACATCAGTGAATTCAAGTCATATCTGTTCCTATCATCACACCCAGTCGTGCAGATGTGGGATATGCCAATACCCAGAGAAGAAGAAAAATTAGGTCTTCCATATTTTTTGATTGTCTTGTAGTTCCTTCCCATAGGCCTAACAGTCCTATGAGTAAAACAAAACCATAGAATTGCCCTACGAGGCATTTCCAACAGTGAGTGGCTGCAGGAGAAGACAGACCTCAACTCCATGTTTATTTTTTAAAGTGCCAATTATAAATGGAACAAAAAGAAAGCAGAGATGGCCTGTGGTCCACCATCCACAGCTGACTCTTCTTCCCCCGGGAGTTCCAGAGAGCACCTTTGTCATCCCAGTGGCCCTCAGGCAGATGCAGGGCACATTCAGATTTACAGGTGAGGCCAAGCATCCGCCTGAGGACACATGGCTTAATGGCCAGGGAGCCAGACATTGGACCAGATACCCTGGCTGCAGAAGCTTCTAGGCCCTGGGAGCAGCAGTTCCCCAAAGTTTGAGTGGACTGACTGGGAGGTAAGTACAGCAGGTGGGGCAAGGCTGGAGGAGGTGGGCACTGGGGGCTGCCCTGGAAGGGTACCTCTGCCCTGTGGCCTCTTCCCCTCCTCTCTCTCTGCTTCCTGACCCCACATGGAGCTGAGCTCTCCTCTGCCAGGCCCTTCCATGATGTGCTGCCTCATGTTGGGTTCAGAGCTACAGAGCTGGCCATATGTGGGCTAATGCCTCTGAAAAACTGCAAGCCCCAAATAAAGTCCTTTCCTCTAGGCTGTTCCTGTCAGTCACCCTAGGGGGAACCATGGAGGGCAGAGTCCAGGACGGGTGCATGATGGAGTGGCCCTGGGAGGTACAATCTGCAGGAATCACAGCTGAGTGGGAGGGCTGAGGAAAGGGGAGAGTAAGAACCTGGACTGGCAGCCAGAAAAATGATGCTGCCCTCTGACCAAGCATGGATTGCTCAGGCACATCAGGAGCATGCTTTGAAATAAGGTCTTACTGATTCAAGTTCTGAGGACGTTAGTAGAAAAGCATGCTGCTCAGATACCTGCAGGTCCAAGCTCAGAGGTGAGGTAGGAGCTGGAGACCTGGCGATGGAGGTGAGCTTGGCTGGAAGAGCTAGGCCAGGTGAACGTCCAGCAAGAAGAGAAGGCTGGGGATGGGGCACCCAGGACATAAACCCTGCCACTCAGGCAGAATTTGTGTGGGTCACGGGCTTCCTCCACCAGAGATCAAGGAACTGACCCCCAATGGCACCTGCAGAGCCCAGTCACATGTCTCGTCCTCATGAGATTAGGGATTTCCTATTCCATAGAGTACACCGAACAAGAAGTTGTCGTTCATAATAGATAATCAAAATGCTGCTGCCTACACGACCCTAAGCCTTGTTCCTAGGGACTGTGGACCTAGATGGGTTCGTCTCATCAAGGGAGAAAGACATGAACAGCCCTGACATGGGAGCATGCTGCCCGGAGACAACTCCATTCAGACCCGCAGAAGGGCCTTCTCCATGCACATCCACCAGCAAAGTCTTCTGTGCTCGGGGCCTGTTTGTTGATCCTTTGTTCATCCCTGTGCATGTTAGCATATGAAGTCACATGAGGTCATTGAAGAAGGGTCAGATGAGAAAAAGCCTCCATAGCACAGCAGTCAGAGAGCCAGTCCCCCTGGAACAGACCAAGAGCCCTCCTCTGAAGTACACAGAAGCAGTCAGGTGGGTTCTCAGCACTGGACAATGCTTTTCAAATTAGAAAGGGCAGTAAAACTTTCCTCCAAAGTTAGAGACTGAATTGTAGCCACCCAAAATTCATGTTGACGTTCCAACACCCCCACCCCCACCGGCCCCTTTCCTCAGAATGTGACTGTATTTGGGCAGAAGGTATAAAAAGGTGATCAAATAAAGTGAGGTCATCAGGGTGGGCCCTGATCCAATCCGACTGGTGTCCCTGAAAGAAGAGACTTGGACAGAAGATGCTACCTGCAAGTCAAGGCGAGGCCTTGGGGACACTGTCCTGTGACCCCAGCTCTCTGCTGGCAGCCTCCAGGTTGGGGGCCGATGCCCGTCTGTCATGTGAGCCCCTGGCTCTGCACTGTTGCTGTGGCTCTCATGAACTAACACACTGAATAGTCCACACTTCACAACTCCGTGGCCGTGTCCCCGATGGCTGGATGTGGTGCTCAGTGTGATCACAACAAACGCCCTGCCTCAGCCAGGACAAAGCTGCTTTCAAGGGCAGGCAGGAGAGGGTAATTGGAAACCCCCAGTGTGAAGGCTACATCTGGAAGCGGGGTGCTCACAGCACCTTGCCTTCTGCTCGGACTCTGGTGAAAGCATGGTACCCTGGCTCCTGAGTCCCAGCACCAGCAGTTGCTGGCTAAGGGCAAAGGCAGACACTCAAAGCAGAAAGGAGGCAGCCTGTGGACAGCTCCGCTGCTCATCACTAGCCCGTCCACAGGCCTTCACTTGAAAAAACCAAAGCTATCATTTCTCTAATCAGTGCTTGCTGAGAGGACTGTCTGTCCTTCACCTTGTGAGATTAGGAACAAGAGGCAAGGAGGCCAAAACTGCCTGCTCTTCTCGGCTTGGTCTGTTTCCTACAATCCAGTGAGTTGAATTTGGAAGGCGCATCCAGGTATCGTTCTCTGGGTTGTAACATATTCTCTCCTCTCTGAAGTGGCACCCCCTTTCTCCACAGAAAAGCCCTCTTCACCATGGCTGATTTTAGGACTGTCAGCAAAAGAGTCTCTGCAAAAGAGTCCAATGTAGATAAACTTCCTATTTTTGTGTCACCCTGTTTACTTGGCCACTGGGCAAGAAGATACCAGCACTCCAGGTGCTGGACACTCCCATACTAGTTTTTCACAAACATATCCAGTATAGTACTTTGTAGAAATGTGAAAACAAGGCCTCTGGCTTTGAGCTGGGCTTCACAGAGATGTCTACATTTTTAAGATAAGTTACAAATGGGCTCCATGGTAACAGCTGGCAGGGGGAGGAAAGAAAGGGGAGAAGAAACTCTCCCCTTCCCAGATGTTGTCCTTGAAGAGTTAACTTGCCCAGAACAGTGAAAGAAAAAGCTGCTTTTATGAGAACTCCTGCAGACTGTGAACTTCTGAGCCCCTCCCCTTACATGCTGGGTATAAAACTCTGAAACTCCCTGAACTCTGGGTTCAGGGGATTGATTGATTACAGCAAAGGCTGTACCCTCTGAACCTGGCTGCAGCCAAATAAAACTGTTTCCTGCTGTCTTCGGTGCCTTGCCTCATTTGTCCCTACAACATCTCTACAGTCTATAGTTCTGGACTAGCTCCTATTTTCTTTCTCTGCTTCCTTCCTTCCCTCCCTCATTCCCTCTCCTTCTGTTCTTCCCCAGCAGAGCGCATTAGTGTCCCTGTGTGGACACACACATGGGTCCTGCCAGGCCTCTGGCTGCATCATTCATTACCTGATCCTGCCCACAGGCTCTGTCCAGAGGTGGGTCCTGTGAGCAGGCTGAGCATGGGCTGGAGGGATGCCAGCCCATTGCCCTTGCCTTGTCCGAGGTCCCAGAAGAAGGCATCGGTGGACTGTTAAGGAGCACAGAGCAGGCCCTTGTCCAGTGTCCCCTTCCCACTGCCTGACCACTCTCCCCACCTCCTTCACCAGCTCTCCTCCTGGGTGCCATTCTCTCCTGACCTGGGCCAACAACCTTATCTGACTTCTGAGGCCAAGTCCTTCTTGTTTGGGCCCAGGTCGGTGGGCCTTTTCTGGTCCTCTGATCACCCTCAGGGATCTCTGTTTCTCAGATAATCTGTCCTATGACCAGGCCAAGGGCCGATTGTTGAGAAGCGGCCTCCAGCGACTGCTGCCCCAAGCTTCTTAAGGAATGGATGTGCAAAGGTGAAACTTGTCACAGAGGCAAACCCCACAGGACATGAGGAGGGGCCCTGGAAGGGAAGGGTGTAGCCAGCCATGTGCCTGAGAACAAAGACAGAAGCTGGGCCTGGCTGTCAGTCCTCCTGGAGAGGCTGGGTGTGCCCTGGAGGATGGAGTGGGCAGGAACCAGCTGAAAAGTAGTTCTTGACAATCACTGAAATCTCACTCCATTCCTCACAGAGGCAAGCTCAGTCCTCTGCACCCCACAGGCCTGGATGCGCCTGAACTCGGTGGGTGCTCTGAGCTCCGAGAAGTCTGCTGGGTCAAAGCACAGAACCAGAGACCAGGCCCAAGGAGATGCCACTCCAGTCCGTCAGGCACTGCAGGGAAGCTGGGCCTGTATCAGCTGCACTCACCTAGGGCTGGAGAGCCACTGCAGGATTGGGAGGGAGACAGCCAGGATGTCTAACAGCCACGTGCCCACGCAGGGAGAAGCTGGGCCAGACACCATCCCCCTAGCTGGCCTGGCACAGCGGGGTGGCCTGGCTAAGCTTCTACCACCCCTAACGTTCCATGTGTCTATGAGACACGATGTCCCAAGCTCAGAAGGGCCTCCTCAGGTAGCCAGGCTAACACCAGGTGGACCCATGTTGTTGCCAGGCTGACACGATGACTGCTGACTCTGCCTCGGTCAGCCTCACTGTCCTCCTTCCTTTGCCCAATGCCTGTGGGTGAGACGCTGGGTTTTGAGTTGTCTCCCACTTCTGTTCTTGGCCAGGAATAAAAGTCTCCCTCACTGATCAACAGGTGCTCAGTCTTGTTATTGGTTCCATAATTCCCAGAGGGAAAAAGGACCCAGGCTTTGGGCTCAAAATTTGATAACACTGGGACACCACAGCAGCAGCATCTTGACCGCTGTGGTAGCCCCAGTGGGTGCCTCTTCTACCTAACCCTGGACCTGGGCCACCTGCTGAGCTGGACCAGAGGGAGTCCTGGCTGTGGGCAGCTGTCCTGGGGCCTCAGAGCTGGGTGGACTGGGAGGGCCAGATAAGTCCTGAACCCAGACAGACCTCGCCTTACAAACCACTAGCAGAGCTGAGGTAGCTCTCACTTGCACCCTGGTGTCAACGCCCCGTGGCTTAGAGTTCAGAAAGGGAGAACCTGGCTTCTGGGTAAGACTATATTTCAATAAAGGCTTATTAGTGAAGGTTCTGTGGTTGAAAGTTGTAGAAATCAGGCAAAGAAGAGGGTTTATTGGAAGTATATAGGTCTGGGTGTTTTCTTGCCTTTTTTCTTTTCTTTCTTTTTTGGGGGGGTGGTATTGGGGATTGAACAGAGAGCCTCGTGAGTGCTAGGCAAGCAC